ATTATTATATAATATATAACATACACTAGCAAGAGAAGTATATTGTGAGCTTATTTTTAAAATAATTTGTGTTCTAAGGTCTGCCAAGAGATTAAAAGTCAGGCAGAGAACAGATTATCCAGTCTGAATGCTTTAAATTCAAGACTATTCTAAGAGAAATCATCATACTGTACACTTGCTGGACATATATAAATTAAAATTAAAAATGGCATCAAAATATCAAGCTCAAACTTTGTTATGAAAATCTGCATTCTCTCAGCTTCACTCTTGAAGCAAGAGTATGCAATTCCTCTAGAAATACTTATCATTCTTTGCATGTGTGTGAAGAAAATGACATCTTTCTCTGCATTTGTTACCCCCTGAATTGCTTTATTTCCTTTATTTCTTGTGTGTTTTGTTCTACGAGGGAAAGAACCTGCTATTGTCACAATTGCGGGGAGAGCTAAGAGCCTGGATTTGATCAGTAGTAATTTTCACTTCAGCGTTACATATTGCGGTGTTCTTAAGCATTTTAGGACACATCATTACTGTTAGCATTACTATCTGAAAATGTAGGAAATACAACAAATGTTAAACAGAAGGTCTATGCACCATGTGACAGCCTTCCAGGCCTGTGTCACTTGCATCAGATCGCAAGTGGATCTCACAGTATCTGTTTGTATACAAAATTTAATTTTGCAAATACTGTTGAAGTATCCTCTACATAGCCCCAGACTCATTTTTCTAAGCTTGTTATGATAAAAGGGATTTGCAACTTGGCCCTGTTAGTGTAGGCATGACTGGAGAATTTCACCTCTGGACACTTACAATTTCTAATCCCTTTATACAGTTTCTGTGAAGAGGTTATGAATTAAAGACCAGGATATGACATTGAGGGTTCTGATTCATCAGCCAAGTTGGCTTGCCTTGGGGTGGTTGGAATAATTTCCTCTGCTCTTGATCTTACTCTTCTCTGAGCATTTCTCTTGCCTGCCCAGGGGGACAGCTGTGCTACCTGTGAAACAGTTCTTGAACTGCCAGTTAACAGACCAGTATATTAAAACAAATTGACACCAGTTTTTGTTTAGTTTACAGCTGTAGTCCCTGTGGCTGTAAAAGCCTGTGGCTGTAAAAGCAACTGAGCCATCCCTAAGTAACCAGTGGGTAAAGAGGAGGTAGAAATCAAAGCAGCTGTCCAAAGTCCTTACTTGTGAATCAAACCCTCAGTTATGCTAAGACCCCTCTGGCCATGTTCATATTATTAGTCCAGTTGGACTCCTTAGCACCTCTAGATCAGAATAAAGTGCAAATGACATCCGGGGTCAGGTTGCAGATTTACATTTTAATAGCCTAAATATAGGTATTTGTTCTCCTAGTAAACACTCAAGAAGAGCATTTATAGCAAATCAGTTGAAAAAATAAAATCTCTATATCTCAGTGCATGAGGCCAATGCAAATAAATAATGCCTTATGATAAGCTATTAAATATTCCCTGTTATACTACTCAATCTTCCTGAATACATTTCACAGAATAGAACACTGCATATTTCTTTGTAATCATGTCATTTCATCATGAAACACGATTAAGTTATTTGATGTGCCTGATTGTGCAGTAGCATATATCTATATAACACAACTTTCAAAAAAACACTAGCCAAAATATTTCTCAGATCTACATAATGAATAAGTAGATGCAAAATAATAGAAAAACAGCCTAGTCTTTTCTGTTTCAGATTAAGTAATTAGAAATAATAAGAATTATTTAGTGATACATTTATATTTCAAATAAAGTTACTTGTATACTTAATTACAGCACTTTTAGAAAATAATTGCTCATCCTGCTGCCATCAAAGAAGTTGCTTCAAGCCTGCACTTTGCCTGTCTTTGTAACCTGCAAGTCCATGTAGGACTACTTCTGATTACTGCTAAGGTTTACCTTGTCAGCCAGAGCACTGCAACCAGAAGTAGTTCTGAAGAGACTTCTGCTTAACTTCTTACTAAAATACAGAAAGATAGTGGTAAACAGAGATACAGTTCTGATCTTGATACTGTTAAATTCAGTATAAGTATTTTCTATTGAATCTCCTAGGAACAATACTAGACCAACAACTCAATATCTGTGATCTACCTTCAGTTGTTTTCTTTTGTGGTAAAACATCACACAGATAGAGCAATCATTCAGTCTGCCATTTCCAGTACACTGGACAGGAACATAGACCAAATGAGAGCTGTCCCTCTTCCTAAGCAGTGTTTGGTACAGCTTTTGAGAAAATAAAATTTTGCTGGACAGAAATGTACGAAGAAATACTCTGTCAGAGGTGGGAAAATTCCTCTGCAATATTAGGGTAAGGAGAAATCTGGTGAAATCACAATGGGAAAAGCCTTTAAGGATATATTTGCATTACTCACTGATGGTTGCTCTCCCTGGGTGTGGATCCAGTGGGGAGTAAGGGCCTCACTTCCGTTAGTGGTCCCAGGAAGGTGAAGCACATTAAACTACACAGCTCCCTTGACTGGCCACTTATCTGCATATAAGAGGAATAAGACCAAAACCAGTTAAGTATGCAGATGTGCACAAGTGTATGTGAAAGAAACCACAGAAAAATTGTAAAAGAAGATCCAGATAAACAGGAGTATGTGTCTGAAAATAGCTGTCTCTGTGTCACAATTTGGATTTGCATTTTCCTCCATTCTAGACTCAGGTTTATTTTGACCAAAGCGTACAGAGCTTTCTTCTTCCCATCCTTTACGCGTAGTCCATGGCGATGATATGACCTCTCTTTGAGGTTAAGGTGGGGCTTAGCAATTTCCTCAACCAGGGTTGGGTAAAGAGGGGGAATCAAGGGGAGATGTGATGTGAGGAGTGGGACATGGATGTCAGTAAACCCTAAACAGGCATCAAGAGGCAGAGGACAAGAGCCAGAGGAGAAAACTGGGCTCAAAGGAAGAGATTATATAATAGGATAAATATTAGGTAGAATCAAATCTAAATTTATGCTTTGCCCAACCAAGCCTCAGAAGAAGAGCCAGAACTAGTAGCACAGTATCAGACCAAATTATCCACTGTGTCCTTAATCATTCTGCAAACAGCAAGTACATTAGGACACAGTTTATAACAGTCTTGCACAGGCAGGAGAACTGTACTCTTGAATAATAAAAATTAGCATTCACAATATTTGTTTCTGTTAAAAGAAGTAGTATAATTAGTGCTGTGTAAAATGAAGATTAACTTTAATCACTGAAGGAGTATAATTTTTTTTTCCAACTTCTTTTGTTTTAAACTCTGCACTCAGGAAGATCTGTTAACAAGCTCAGCACAGAACCACTGAGAATCATTCATGAGGCATTGGAAGAATCCAGTGATTGGTTTTATGGCTTTATTTCTTTTTTGTCTGACATCGTATGGAGTGATGATGATGACAATGATGAAGGTATTTGTAACGTAAAGACTTCTGTAACTGCTCTAACTGCTGGTTTACATGCATTATGTTGTCTTACTCAGCTTTTAACCTCACAGACAAGAAGGTCAAACAAAATGAAAAGTGAATGTTGTTGCTAATACAGCATCTATTGGCTATTCCAATCAGTAAATTGTTCTCTTTGTTAGCTTTCATCTCATGTTTAATGTACCATTACAGAAAAACTGTCAGAATTAAATATTACCATTAGTAGATCTTGAAGTAAAGAGCATGAATTTATACAAGACTTGAAAGCCACAACGAAACTATGCATCAGGATATTGCTTCAGAGAATGGCAATAGCTATTTTATTTTAATCAACAAACCCCAGTAAATATACAAGACAGACTAAGAAACTGAAAAATTTTTTGTTTGATATATTGATGGCAGCAAAATATCTTGAAAAAATAATTTAGTAAAAAAAAAAAAGAAAAGAAAAGTAGCATTTTGGCTGAACTAAGGATATTTTGGATGACATATCACAAATAATTCAGTTTACTAAATATTATGGTTCTGCTATTACTGTAGCATTTCTCATTTGATATCATCTGATAAATGAAAGTAAATTGCTAACATTTCAAGTTTGAAAATAACTATCCTTCTGTTTTAAAAAAGTAGTTCCCTGGTATGAGCAAAGCAGTAGTGGATCATCATGTCACATTGTATTGGTCATTTTGACAAGTGATGAGTGTAGGAGTGACATCTTCATTTCACGGTAGTTTATTTTATATTCTATTTCACTGTACCAGAATATAATTAAAAAGCAACATGTACTGAAACTGACTTCTATCCATTTGTTCATAAACTTGATATATTATCAAATTTCTACCTTTTAAGTGTGTGCATGAGCATTTATATTAGCACCATATATGAATACTAATGGAAAGGCTGCTACAAGTGAGTCAGTGCACTGGGCACCCTACTATGAGACTACTTACAACCAGCATGAAGCAAATCTCTCATATCACTGAGAAACAGAAAAGGTGAATATGGAAAGCTTGCTATAATTTGAACAGTATTCATTTGTATAATTTCATAGCTCCCAAAGCACTTGCAAGCTTTTAAATACTCAAATAGGTAAGTGTTAATGCAAGTAGGAAAGGTCATAAAATACCTGACATACAAAAATTCAAGATCTGAATGCTCATTAAGTGTATGGAAACCTTGGTCCTACCAGCCTTTGGCTCAAGTGTAATTTCATACCAGGAGTGTGAAAAGGCACTAGGCAACTTATTGCACTGCATCATAAAAAGTAAGTGCATGTGAACTCCCTGCCTACTGTGCCCTGTGGTCAGGGCAGCTGAGGCTACACACTTGCCACAGTCATTCAGGCTAACTCCATTGAATTACACGTCCTACACAGAGGTGGAATAACACACTGCAGCAACGAAGTGCTCACAGTTCCACTGAAAAGGAGCATTTTTTGCTGTGGATTTCACTGGAAGCATTGCTAGATTTACAATCTTGCTAACCTGCACATGCATTTTCTCATGTGGAGCTAAAATGTAACTGCTGGGCCTTTCCTTAAAACATGGAAACATGCATAAAATCAAGTAAATTGTAAATTGTAGTCAGAAGTTAACATTTAGAATCACAAACACAGGTTTGGGTGTTTCCTTGGTTACTAGTGCACACTGAATTTATCTACGCTAGACCCAGGAAAATCTCTGTGGTAAGAGACATACATTATGAAAATCCAGAATCTCAGAATAGAGTGTTTGCTATTTAGCATATAAAGAATAGAATGATTTTTAAAAATAAAATAAGCCAACATGAGAATAATTTTTTTTAAGTTTTATCTCTTCTCTGATTTTTTTTCTTTTTTCTTGGTTTAGGTGAAGTGGAGCCTTCCTTGAAAAAAGGTTAGTCAGTTGTTTTACTACAGAGGACAGATATTTTGCAATCATTTTAAGAATTAACCTGTATATCTGTGATATAGATAAACTCATTAGTTACATGTCAGTCTAACCTTGTGAGTTGTGCTTTAACAAATTAATTAAATAAGAAACTCGAGTAATAATACTTGCTGCACTGTTTGCTGCTCTGTGAAAATTCTTGACTTTCATTATTATCCAGAAAATCTGAAAATGTTCATAAAAACTGATTTGAACTACAGAAATATTATCTGTACCCTTGCTCTGCATGTGGGGCTCCTATTAATGCCAATAAGTTAAAAGTGTATGTCTAGATAGAAATAATATTTAGAAATAATAATATAGAAAGAATATTTTGTGAGAAATAACAGTGAAGTGTTGTAAAAGCATTTTACCTTGTGCCAACGCAGACTCTAAAATAAGGACACCTTCTGAATCTTCAGAAAAAAAAATTACTGAGTTATCATTGAATTTATAAAGCAAAAAAGTGAAGCAAGTAGGATTGATAATATAGATCTTTTCAGACATTAAATATGTTATGCTGAAACATAAAACTTAAGTTCAGCTTCTATTAAATCAAAATGAAAATGTATTAGAAGACTTGAGATATTAGTGATAGGATGTAAAGCTTTTCAAAACTAAGTTGATTTTTTTTTTTCTCCAAATTGAGCACAGCTTGATAATAACAAGATGTGTAACTGGGCCTATGTGATCCGAATTTGATATCCATCAAATTCGCAGTAGGTAAATGCCTGTATTGAAGAATCTATCACCCCAGTTAGGGCTGAGATTACAATTCAGTTTTCTCTGAAGTTAATTGGAACTGCATCAGGCTTCTAGTTAATGACACATTTTGTCAGTCTCAATAGGGCATCCAAGCAATTAATAGGCTTGAATACCAGGACCATTCATCTTTCTATGGATGAAGAAAACTTACAGACAGTGTAGGAAAATATTCCATCTTGTTATTCCATCTGTAAGAATCACAAAAGGTTCAGCATTGCCCTGTCTCTTCTCCCAAAATGAGAAATGCATTGTTAATTTTACAGTAGGTGAAGAGTTGGAGGCTTTAGTGCATGGCTGGCAGATATGCTGGGTACATGGGTGGAGTTGTCTGCTCACCATGGGCCAGTGTAGCTGACCAGACAGGGAGTACTGTGGAGATACTGCACCTCTGGGAAGGCTTAATCCATAAAAACATTATGGACGATACCATGCACAGATTTGCAATACCTGTGTCTTTGGAAATCAGTGACATACTCCTGCCTTACGCTTTTGCATTGGGACACTTGGCTGTCAGTGGGAGTGGTGAAATGATTGTTCAGACCTGAAAGTCCTCCATCCAAGGAGCTGAGTGTCTAACTGACAGTTTGAAATGTTGAAATGTTACCTCAGTATTGAAAGCTAACAACCCTGACCTGGAGATAAATGCCTCAGAAAGCCTTCTGTCTTTCATGTAAAGGAAATGGACAATGAGCTGGTGATTCCTGTGGAGCTGGTATCTTACAGGACAAATCAGCCACACAGATATGAAAAGGCCCAAATTCAAACATGTGTCATTTTCCTGGGCAGTAAAACACATTTTGAGTGAGCTTTTCCACTTCCTGCCTGTGTGCTCAAGATCTTTCCCTCCATCTTTCAGAGGATGCCAAGTCCCATCCTTGTCTCCTTGCATAAAGCTGTTTCTTGATTAGGGCTAATGAAAAAAGTGGTCTAAGGCCCTTTCTGGGTTTAGCTATATGCTTTCACATAGCAACACCCTCAAATAACTTATCAAGTCCAGATGACCGGAGTTCTCCATTTCATCCTGGCAGCTAGGATCTGGTCTTGATTACACTTGATGTTGTCACCTCTTTTTCTGGGCTACAGTAATACAACATATGTGGCCTGAAGCCACCAGTCCCTTAGAACAGCCAGTGCAGGGTATTGCACACATCTGCTCAGCGACAGGCATCTGTGAGCTCCTCAGAGCTGTTACTGTCTCTCTTTGTAGACTTAAACATGTGTAAACATCAAGGAGCTGAATTGCCAGGGTCTAAGCCTATACAGAAGTTTTCTGAGAGCTCTGTGATAAAATCTATTGAACTGCTTTTCTGCTTAGGCATCGTGAAATTCACTGTTCACTGTGCTCATGAGCGTAGAAGGCAAAGCCCCTGGAGGCGAGACAAGGGCTCAAACATGCCCGTGCAGGTAGCACTGTCACCAACATCACACCTGTTTCCCCGAGCACAAGGTGCAGACCTTTTTGAGCAGCTTTTCCTAGCTTGTGTGTGCTGTCATGCCCATGGTCCATAAATAAGAATTCCAGAACGAAAGCTTTCAAGACCAGACATTGCATCTGCGATTATTTTCTATGTGACTGCTCTTAGGGCTGGACCCAAAGGAGGACCAGCTATACAAATTAATTTAGGAGACTTTTTGGTATCAAAATGTTAGTAGTTAGATCCAAAAAATTTTCTCTGTTTTAATATAAAAAATGATTTCTGCATCAAAGTCCCATCAACTCAGTGCAGCATAGGTATCTATAGCTTTGTGAATGATCTTTAGGTGGCTCTTATGCTTGTGGCATTTGAACATCCTAAACAAAAACATGATCCAGTGAGTTGTGCAGTACACTACTGCTGTCTGCTGAAGACTAACAGTTCGATTTTTGCACATATGTACAAGGAAACCTCTCTCAAATTTCACTCTGGAAATGTACATTATGGTTGCTGTGTCTGATTTTTAAGTATTTGTATTGAATCTAATCCACAGTTATTGTGGTACTCATGAATAGACTGAGTTTTTTTGAAAAATCTCCATAAATATTTTTGGTGTATGGACAAGCCTTCACTCTTTTGCTGTGTTGACTAGCAGATTTTATGAATGCTAAAATGTTAGCACAAAAGTTACTTTATAATGGAATAGAGTAATGGAAAAAATATATATATATTTCTGGTACCACAGTACAATTACATATTGGAAAAAATTAAAGGGGATTGGTAAGGACACTGCATAGTGTTGAAGGAATTAAAAAAAAAGTAACGATAATTGCAAACCCAATGAAAGCAAAGATCACATTCCCAGAGATGTAAATTGAAAGCAAAGATAATAAAAGTGCAAGTAATGACAATGGCCTTGTACATGTAACAGGACTAATATCAGTTTCAGAATCCTTTAGAATGGATGAAATGCCTCTCAAGTGACTTTTTTGTTGCAATTATTTTTGCCAGTCTAAGTCTTATTACTAATATTAAATATTACTCTATATAACTCTTTAATAATTGGAAAAGAATGAACGTTTACTATTGTCCAGAAAAAAAAAAAAAAGAAAGATTCCTCAGTGGAAGTAGTGAAAGATTATTCTGTAGAGGACTTTGCAATCTTAAACAATGCATATTCTCAACATGCTAAAACTATAGAGCATTTTCACAAAAGATACTGAGAAACAGTTTCTCACAGGCTTATTATGTTTTTGGATTCATTTCTTTCTAGAACAATAGTCATGATTGATAATCTTGTTAATTTTTGCAGGATTAGTTTAACCCTTAGAGAAAAATTGAATTATTTGACAGCTGTATATTTTCTCATATTTTAGTCCTTTTTTACTAGAAATTATTGTTAAAGAAAAAGACACATGCCTATGTATTATTTTTTGGTGGACATTACTGGCATCAGTTGTGAGCTTGGAAAAGAGCTGAGAAACCTGGTGCACAAATTGGAAATAATGATCTGCAAAATGTAAAATAGTGCAGACACTTCAGCATTCTCATCTATGGCTGAAAAGGTCATTATTAAACTATTAACGGAACTTCATTCCAGTTTACATATGGGTAACCAAAAATTTAAAATCTGAACATGGATTCCTCATTTAGCTAGACAGGGTACACCTGACATGCTGTGCACACGTAGTGGTGGGTTTAGCATGTTAAACAAGCATCTTCTGCTTCAAAAGAGCTGATGCATTCTGTCTGGGAAACATGAATCTGGCATTTGGTCTTAGGAGTAAGCTGTTGGAAACCTTTGAAAAAGATTCTAAGGTCAGAATTATTGGGTTTTTCCTTTGAAGCTTAGGAAATTCTTTCTGTAAGATAACCTTCCTTGATTTTATTTTGTGTCTCAGATTAAATGCTCTCTGTCTTTGTCTTTATCTTGCACTCTTTCACACACACGCGCGTGTAAGTCACTATGTAAGTACTTTTCATTTCAATGAATACAATGAACTTACAAAGCAGAGTAAGAAATTAAGCACTGTCATGACACTGTTTACAATTCCTGTATTACCACATATGTTCATATTGGCATAAGATTATTCTACACTAACAATCAAAAGAAACTTGATTTCCTTGAGCTAGAAATGGATCTCTAAATTTATGTGAGTTATCCCGTGTATGAGACAGAAAGATGCATACAACTGTTACATGAAAAGATCCTATTCTACTTCCTTGGATATAAACTTCTTTTTATTTAGAAAAATGCAGTTAAAAACCAGATTAAAAAAAGAAGCCACAAACAAGAGGAATTTCTGTTAAAGTTTCCAAGACATTCTGTTGATTACCAAGCAACTTTTCAGCAAAGCACCTTATCCTTCTGTCTTCCATTCAAATGAGGATATTTTTGCCTGAGTATTAGGCTGGTTATTAATACACTGAAGACATAGATGTCAGGCCAGTCTTAAAAGATATTGCAGCTTCTGAGGGTACTGTTCGTTACGCTGACTTACCTTCAGTAGCTCTGTCCAAGGTACAGTTACCTCAGACCTGACTCCAGACACTTACTTACTCCCATTGACCCAGTCTCCTCCCCAAGGTTAAGACAATCAGAATTTATTTAGTACAAATTATTGGTTTGCTCAGATCTGAGTATTAATCTGCTCTAACAACAACAAACAAAATGCTCCCAAAAGGAAATGTTCCCAGTCAAGATAATTTTCTACATATCCTTTTAAGAGTGATCAAGCAAACACCTATGACAGCATTGCCTGGGAAACAGGAGAGGAAGGAACAACC